AGACTGGGGAAGAAGTAAAGGAAGCTGGAAAGCACCTTAAAGGGTAAGTCGGGCAAGGATGAAGCGGTGGGAGGGGAGTTGTCCAGTTACAGCTGCAATAACATAGCGTGGTTGTGTGTGTGTGTGTGTGTTGGGGAGGGGGGTAGTTAAAGCCGTTAAACACCATGCCAATGAACAGCCAACTTGGCCGAGCATCGGCCAGTTCCTCAGCCTGTGTACCCTGCCGAAAACATGTATATATGTATGGATGATATACCATATACCGTAATTTCCAGACTATAAGCCACGACTTTTGTCACACGCTTTCAACTCTGCGGTTTATTTCATGAAGCGGCTTATATAAAGACTTTTCTAACGGCCGCCTGTGTACCGTCTTTCTTTGTAAATATCTCATGTTACAATATGGGCACCTGCGGCTTATACACAGGTGCGGCTTATGTGTGTACAAAATATTTTTTTCCTTTAAAAATGTAGTGGTGCGACTTATAATCAGGTCTATAGTCCAGAAATGACGGTATATATATATATATATATATATATATATAGAGAGAGAGAGAGAGAGAGAGAGAGAGAGAGAGAGAGAGAGAGAGAGAGAGAGAGAGAGAGAGAGAGAGAGAGAGAGAGAGAGAGAGAGAGAGAGAGAGAGAGAGAGAGAGAGAGATCTATCTATCTATCTATCTATCTATCTATATATATATATATAGCAGCCCAAAAATGCTGCTCACACCAGTCAAGTGGACGTCCCACTCACCACCACCACCAACACACCAAACGGCCATCGGAGGGCTCCTGGCATCTTGCCAGTTGATGGCTCTTCGATCCCAGAGGTCGATCTCTAGTCTCTGGCAAACCGCGAGCGTACGCCCAAGCACGATGCCCACTTTCCCCCAGCTTGCCCGCTCTGTGGCAAGTTGGAGACGCCCTGCCTTCGAGCCCACCGCAAAACAAAAATCCTCCCATTACTCTATATCAGGGGTGGCCAACCCGCGGCTCTTTGGCTGGTTCAATGCGGCTCCCGGGCTTTCACACGACAAGTGTCGAAAACGCCTTGGCAGTGGCAATGCCATTCAAATGAAGGCGCGAACTACACAGAACATACTACGTCAGCCTATCATCAAGCCCGTTACTTGATTGACATAGAGGGCAACCAATCAGATGACTGCATCACCGCTCATGCGCAAACATCGGCGCTAAGCGTTAAGCTAGTCATTGTGCGTGCGTGTGTGTGTGTGTGTGTGTGTGTGTGTGTGTGTGTGCGTGTGCGCGCTCGAGGAAGGGTATGATGCGGCTCTTTGCAGTAACACAGTAAAAAAATTGGCTCTTCGTCTCTGACTGGTTGGCCACCCCTGCTCTATATAGAAACACTTGGCTTACTCCATTCCCTAATGCTTTTTATACTTTATGATTAAGTTTAGAAAGTAAATGGTTTTACCAGTTAGCGCATGGCTGCCCTGTATGTCAATCGACAAATTTCACAACAGATGATAGGAAAGAGTCAACTTTTTTTTTTTAAGTCATTCACTGTAGTACACATAAGGGTAAAAGAACTTGATGAGATGTAGATCTCTTCCTTTTCCTTTGCATTGAAAAATGATTTATTTATATTATTACACAACAAGGGGTAGGACTAGATAAGTTGTATACTTCTTCCTTGTCATGATTCGGTTTGGGACCAACAGGTGGCACTGTAGGGCTCCCCTGCAGCTGCACACCTGTTGGTCATTAGGTAATTAGTGGCTTTAAAAGGACTCCCAGCCCGAGCAATCATTGTCGGGTCATTGTTGCTTTTTGCTGCTGTCATGTTTGTTTGTCAGTCATGTTTCGGTCATGTTTTTGGTCATGTTTTTGTTATTGATAGTTTTGAGCTTCAGTCATGGTTTTTGGTTGATACTTTGGACTTTGTTTGTTTAGGATTTAGTTTTCTGTGTTTTATCAATACACTTCTTCAAGTACACCCTGCTCCTCCCTCCTGCCTGCTTTTTGGGGTCCACCACCACCTCGCTACGTGACAGAATGACCCGACCACCTGGACCCCGCAGGTACGAAGTCTGGTTCCTATTCCACCATGTTCCTGGCGGAGCACGTCTGCGGCAGACACCCTTTTCCTCTTCAGGCAGCGCTGGTGATGCGGCTGTCCTGTTTTCGTCTCGTCGAGCCGCGTCTACGGGGGGGCGAGCCCCGTCCGCCGGCCACTTG